GTGTTTGAAGTTTGATTTAAGGCTTAAAGAGTTGTCAGAGGTGAAAAGTCGTGGACGACTTCAATAGTTAGTCTGATCAGATATCGAAACATCTAAAAATGATGGCCTGTACCAAGTTTAACTACAGTCACGAGTCAGTGAGGAAATCGTTGAAAGAAAATTTGTCTAAAATAATACAATCATATTCGGTAACATTGTTTATTGAAAATAATAAACATTTCCTTCATAAATTTACATTCATATTTCAGCATCATTTAAACGGTATTATTTTACATTATTTATTTTTATCTACACATTAAAAGCAAGTACTCGAAGTCGTGGTGTCTATAACAAACTTTACAAAACTACAAATGCCGTTTACTTACAAATATATTTACGTAAACAGCATAAACAAATTGAGCCAGGCTGTTGACGTGCGTGCTCTGGCACAAAATCAATGGATTCAATTTTCCAAATAAATAATTTCGTGAAATCTTATTCGTAAATTATCTATGAAAATTGTACACACCAAATTATATAACCAGTGTTTTTCAGACTGCGATAGAAAATTCAGGAAATAATGTAAAAGAATTTTAAGTGTAAATAATAAATAAATAAATAACAAACAAGCCTTTATTGCTGTTAGATTTTAATTTATTTATTTTATTTTTATTTAATATATTTTGTACACACAGCTGTTAGAAAAGACACGTCAATAAGGATACAGAGTACAAGGGCACTACTTATTTCATGCTGAAATCTCTTCCAGTAGGCCCGCAAAAGGAAAAAAAGAATTAGGAACACAAACCTAGTGCATACAGTAAACATTACATAAAATAATATATACATATTACAAGATACAAAACAATATATATACATACAAATACACACACACACACACACACACACACACTTATATATAACATACACACATATACTTATTTTATATAAGTATTAAGTTATTTAATTAAACATAAAATGATAACAATAGAGGTAAGAAAGCTATAAGGTAACAAATACGTATTCTCGGCATTCTTAAGTACATGTCCCGTAACATAAAATAGGTTATAGCAAACGGTCTGAAAAAATACTTTGGGCCAATTAATGCGAATCGTGACATTTCAATATTAAATGAATTGATCATCACATTTATGGAGTCAGTCAATTTGGAATTTTGACTTGTGTAAGATAGTAATAAATAGAAGATAGTATAGTGATAGGATCTCGTGCTCAGTCTTATATCGTCTCTTGATGAAGACGTTCGGAAAAGAAATATAGTTCGTAAGTCACAACGAAATATTGAAAACCGGTTTCTTTTTATTTCGGGAATTTCTACAACTATTCATAGCCCGATACATATTTCTAATAGGCTTCTTCAGTTCACCGATAGATGAAGAAGCTACAGGAGCAAGCGAAATTACACCAGACCATTTTTGTTTGCATACTTTTTAGTCTGCAAAGTTTCTGAATTTTTAATTGAGTTAGCAATGTTCTTTGTTTTGTAGTTCTGTGAAATTTCAGTTCAGACTTTACGCCTCAATTTAAGCAGAAATTTTAACTCTTACACACAAAGATACATGTAAGTGTTAATCCTAATTATTGGCACTTTACTTTAAAATTTATCACTTTTGTTATTTAATTACAAAGATGGTCATATCAACAAAAGATACCCAAGTATTCTAGAAATAAATTTGCTATAGTTTAATACTAGAAATATTATTACAGGAATACTTTTATCCGGCTAATTAAACATCCATTTTATTAAATATGTTGATTAGCATATCCATGATAGCTCTTTCCACTGGATTATGATTTATGGTCAGTTTTAGAGACTACAGCTTGCTCTAAACGCCATGATAATTTGGAGTCCCTAAAACAATCCGTACGATTGGCAGTGAAAATTTTTCCCATGATAAGAGTGTGTGCTTCTATTGATAACTGGCCTCAACGTTTAAAGGACTGTATTGCAGCCAATGGAGGCCACTTCGAATAAGCTTTTTATACTTTAAATTGTTTTATATTTATGTATTAAACTAACACACTGTAAAAGTAATAAATGTTATTTGCCATAGATTTTTTTTTGTTTTCCTTTGTAACAGTATTTATGGCCAGACTAAGTATATGTCCGGGTGTGCTATGCAGGCTAGCTTCATTCAAAACTATATCCCTTATGTATAAACATAATGTACACCTGCCATATGAATACCTATCTAAATGGAGATTCTAGAAGATTATGGCAAACCATCATGAAGACAACGTTTACACCTTAATCAGTTTTTGGTTCACAAATGCTGATGGCGAAAATGTTGGAAAGTCAGTCGTTCATAATCATGAAATATATTTTCGAAGCGTCGGAAATAATTTATTAGCTAGTTAAATAGTTTATTTATATTGGAAAATAAAATAGAGGTTTTTTTGTTGTTGTCAATAATCGATACAAACGACGAATACAAACTCTTTTCAAACCTCGTTTCATACCAAGGAAAATAATAATCATTTCAGAGCCGCAGGTTATAAATGATTTCTGAAATGCACTGTGTAAGCTTCGTATGCTTATCAGTGCGTTGCAAAATTCTCAGCATCGTAGTTCATAGTAATCTGTAATAAAATAATAAAAAAGCGACGAAATCGCATAAGCCTTCAATTATGATTACGTCTTATTTTATTTATACCTTACTTTCTAGTTAACTTTAATTTATTTACAAGCAGTCATAAATATATATTTGTAAGCTAGGATTTCAATTTGATAGAGATAATCTTTAATAAGTAATGAAATGAAAAAAGTTTATATTATAAGAAACTTGGACGGGTTTTTGAAATATTTTTTAAAACAAAATACACTTATTTAGTTGTAACGAGAAAGATTCAAGAAATAGTTCAAAAATAATTTCAATTAGATTAAAATATATTTTTGACGCGATCAAAATAATAGACATCTAACTAGACTTGTTTTTTAATATTGGAAAAATTTTGGTCATTTCATTTTTGTTTTGTTTGCAATATTAAAAGGTATTTGCTTGGATGAATTTAATAGCTCTCCGCTGACTGTTATTTGGTTATCGAGACCCATAGATATCACAACACGAATGTCACCATCCACCTTGAGACATGAAGTGGGAACCTCAATTGGATTGTGGATCGGCTGTTTCATAAAGTGCCTTGTGAACCACCAGCTGATTAGTACGGTTTCCATCACGGTCGGTCAGCTGCCGATCTTCTTGTGTACCATACAGGGGTTCAGGCCTTAGAGACTAAGGGTGAGGTTCTCGTTTTGAGCCTTGATATCGCGATGACCTTCAACGGGTCTGGAATAAGGCACTTCTGTTGAAGTTAGTAGCTTATGGAATTACAGTCATTGAGGGCTACTGTTTCGATATCATGATCATTAAGGCCAGCGTTAGACAAGCTTTGGTCGTCTCCCCCACGGAGTTTATCCTGTATCAGTGACATGAAATGGCTTGATGACATGCCTTGCTCTGCCGTGCGGATTACAGCACGAGGAATGCGCGACAACAACCACACATCATCAGATGGACCGTAACCTTGTCTGTTTACATTGGCAATAAAAAGGCTTTAAACACATAGTTATATCGCGGCAGAAATATGCAGGAGTCTGATGAGTTTTTGCCAGCACAAACAACAACTGAACTGAACTGTCGACTATGGCAAAGAAAAACACGATGAACTCTAAAACTGATACCTCTTTATTCCGAAAACAAAGCAATTTATAATCACAAAGTTCTTAAGGAAAATAAAAAAGAAACTGTATTTTAAATGTTGCTTTTGTTAACAAACAAACGAATTAGTTGTCTTATATTTTTATTGCTTCAAACTTGTAGTAGGTTTTTTATTTTATTACTATACTTAGTTGGGTGGACGACTTCACGATTAGGTACTGTGGTATTTAAGTGGTTACAACGTAAATACCCACCTTGCGATATGAGTTCTAAGGTCTCAGTATAGTTACAACGGCTACCCCGCCCTTGAAACCGAAACGCATGACTGCTTCAATACAGAAACCGGCAGGGTGGTGGTACCCATCCGCGCGAACTCAAGCTCAACGATCAGACGCGGTCTTAAATAGACTTATGAACTATTCATATCATTATTTTTAAATGACATTTAATGATTGTAAGGAGTTGATTTGTAGGATTGTATTGAGAGTCCGCTCGGGTAGATGCCATAATATCTATTTGTACTGGGATGGGTCAAACGTTTCTTTTAGAAACTTAGGGGCAGCTATACAATTTCCCCTACTCTGTTCGTCCCGGGTGGAGATCAAGCGTCGGGTGAGAGAGTGCAAATGGAGTGGTTTATTGAGTAAGGTCCCTGGGACCGCGATCTTATCCGCAAACCAACAAAACCCACATACTTCGCCCCTTAGGTGCGGAAATTTCTCATAAGGTTCGGCCCTCCGCCCGAAAAAAAATGCTCCAATATTGACACTTAGATCGTAAGTCTAATAGTAGGTGAAGGCATTAACTTTGTGATGTGTGTGAGCTCATATAACTACTTAACACTAAGTAAACAAAAGCTCGCATCTATCCAATAAACAAAAACAAAAAAAAACATTACTAGACTGCCCTTCATTTATATAATATAGCGAAACATTATAACATTTAGTGGATAGAATTAAAATAAAGCTTAAATTATAATTTTTGCATAGTATTTTGCAAATATCTATACTAATATTATAAAGAGGAAAGATTTGTTTGTTTGTTTGTATTGAATAGGCTCCGAAAGTACTGAACCGATTTGAAAAATTCTTTCACTTTTTGGAAGCTACACTATTCCCGAGTGACATAGGCATAATCTTTTTTGAAAAAATTAGGGATCCTTACTAAAACTGTAATAATATAACCCAAGGTGTAAAAAATTACTTAAAATATTCTTTACATCGCGTGCCTGCGAAAACTATTCATTATAGAACAAAATAATGTACTACGACTTTGTAGAACACATTATTATTTACAAAAAATGTCGCGACAGCATATGTTTAACTATTATAATTAAGCCGCAAAAGGTGTTCTTTCATTTAAAAAAATAAAACAACGTCAAATATAGAGGGCTGCTAGTAAATAATAAGTGTAATATAAGAACGAATCGGGTTACAATAGCAAACATCACTTCAGTTTAGGACGTATTGTAAACCCGTGCGGGTAGATGAATCTTCTTATGTATTTCAAATCATTGCTGCTTTTTTACAACGGATTTTGAAGTGGTTCTAACAAAAAATACTTATTTTTAGAGGTATTTATTATAAAATATTGAAGAAAATCAAACAGAGGAAATGGTCCTGTAGACTGAATCAATGATTGTTCACTGCCAAAAATATAATTATGAAGTCTTATTATTTTAATTAGAAATGAAATTTCAGAAAATTTGTTCTCATAATAACATTTCCGACGGGGTATAATTTTAAACAAAAGACCCAATTGTTATTTTCTAATTATGACCGTCTATCTACAACACGTTTCGTTCGAACGATTTTTCCTTAATTAATTAATCCTTCATTATAAAAGCTGCTACAATAAATACACAAATTTTGCGAACATCTTTTGTTTTTTATACAATTCTTTGTATTCATTATAAATACAAGACCGAATGAATATCCCTTAGAATATTATTTTTGGTACCAATCTCACTGAAGATACTTTACCTTATAATTAATATTATTGGTGTATTTTCATTAATCTATACAGCTTAAACAAACACATTTACTTGCTACAATATTAAATGCAAAGCTCTTTCGAACGCTTCGACAAACTCAAAGCTTGTAAATACATCACAAACACTATTATTATATCAGCTTGTGTCACTTTTGAATTTTTAGTTTTTACACTAAACTATGCACCATAAGTCAGTTAGGCGATTCAAAAAGCGCTATAGATGTGTTTCTTCGCCTTCAGTGCAAGACAACCTGACCACTTTGGCTTCAGCTAAAACCCCGACTCCTTCTAAGCACGAACGTCTGTTTGCGACAACATCTCTCAAGAACGCTCTCCTGGAACCAGCTAGATCGGTACCAGTTATGGACCTGGTCAGCTTTCGCAGAGCCGGTAGCTTCAGCGCTTCCTCGTACGACGGAGGCTCGTCCGTCGGAGTTGTTTGCGATCGACCACCGAAAGGGTCTCTCGAGCAGGTCGGCGACAACTCCGTTGAGTAATATAGCGTCGGCTCCCCGTTGGTGCTTCGAGCCTCATTCAGCTGTTGATAGCTGGACTGGTTCGACGATCTGAAGTCTTCTATGATTTGTCGAGCACTGCGAGCTGTTGTTAAAACACCGGCCCATGAACGTCTGTTCTGCTGTTTCGCTTCATCAGTGCGTGTGTTCGAGCTGATGTTGTAACTGGAATGCGTGCTGGCTATACCAGCCCGCGGCCTCCTCGGCGGCTCATCAAACGACAAGGCCTTGACAGTTGGCCGGTTCGGTCGCGTTTCATTTTCAATATCAACTAGTACGCTATTTGCATTTTCATTAATACCCTCCCTCAGAGCTGCGTCTATACGCATCGCTTCAGAGTATGATGGTACTAAGGCACAATTTCCTCGGATGGCTGCGAATAGTTCTAAGCTGTCTACAGTGGAGGCGTGAGACAAGGGTAATGTCCTGACAGGGCGCGGTGCCGAGCGGAGTGGTGTACATTGCTCGTCCGCTAGGGCCCACGCGTAATTCGTAGCGGTAACAGGCGGCAATGTATCCGAAACGTGAGTGTCTATATCGAGCTGACGACTTGGATCTAATTCGTAATTTGTTCCAAATATTTTCGTTATCTATAAAATGGAGAACAAATGATTACTAATATCATGTTAAAAAAATGTCAAATTTTGAAAATAAAATCGTAGTCACTCACTGTGTAATGGACATAGGCAGTGTTACATTCTATTAGAATTCTCAGAGGCCACGACAACAGAAGACAAGACAGTGTCCAGAAGAGAATCTGTGATGAATACCATGGACAGTGGTCGGCGTCTCTGCAACAAAAAAATATTTTTGTTTTTGTAAAACAATTAAATTTTTGGCTATAATCTATACTAATATATAAATCTGCAGTGGTTTTTACGGATGTTCCGTTATAACTACTGAACCATGTATCCGATTGACTTGACACTTGGTATTCATGTAGAAAATACATGTGCTTAATGGATAGGCTAATATTTATATGAGTGTTGGGCTCCCTACACCTGTTGCGGGGGCTTCAATGATGAGAATACTTGTGGGGGTGAGATATAATAATGTTAATTTTAAATGCCTAGCGAAGCGGACGGGTACAGTTAGTCAGTCTATAATATCAGTGACAAGGGTACGTACCTGTAAGCTACCATGTATTCCTTGAACGAACTCACTCCAATTAAGTCTAATCCCTCCCTCATCTCCATGAAATCATCGAATCTTTCATGTTCCGCGAAAAATCTCGAACGCTGGTCCTCGAATTCTGAAAAAACTGTACTGTAAGTTTCATACAAAGCGAACCTAGATTAGATTAAATGAAAACTAAGATAGCTTTATTAATGTATACTCAAATTTTAATTGATGTGAATTAAATTAGAATTTGAATTAACGTGAATTATACTAAATTTCAAAATGATGTGATTTTATATTTAAAAAAACTCATTGCTTTGTTATGTGTATTTATGGTAACAGCTTTTTTAATGAAGGATTAATTAATTAAGCAAAAAGTAATTCAAACAAAACGTTTTGTAGGTAGACGTTCATAATTAGAAAATAACGATTTAGTCTTTTGTTTCAAATTATACATTGAATGAAATTTAATTTCAAATTATAATAACATGACTTCCTAACTACTGTTTTTTGCAACGAGCAATCCTTCATTAAATCAACAGTAATATTTCCTCTGTATGATTTTCGTCAATATTTTATAAAAACTACCTTTAAAAAGGGGTGTTTTTATTTTATAAACACGCCAAACATAACCTTGTAATATTCTGAACAATACATATAAAGTGAAAAAGGTTTTGAAATCTAAAAGAGTTGTTTAGTAAAATTTACTTAGTAGAGCTCAAAGCTTTTTGTTATAAGATGGTTACTAGAGCTAATGGGCATCGTTACATGCCAAAAAACATGTCTTGAATCGTGAGATTGAATTTTCTATTCAATTAGAGTAAAGAAAACTTTCGCTTTCGATACGCTATGCAAATAACTTTTTTATATTTTATTGCTTAGACGTGTGGACGAGCTCACAGCTCGCCTGGTGTTAAGTGGTTACTGGAGCCCATAGACATCTACGACGTAAATGCGCCACCCACTTTGAGATATAAGTTCTAAGATCTCAGTATGGTTACAATGGCTGCCCCACACTTCAAACCGAAACGCATTACTGCTTCACGGCAGAAATCAAACACTATTATATTTCGATAATATAATCACAGTATTCGCCAAAACTGCACTATAGATCAATAATATTAAAGACAAACAATATTAATATTTTATATTTTCTATCCGACCACAGATTTTAAACAATAACAAAAGTTTCCCAATTGACAGTAAGCAAAGAGTATATTTTTATGTACGTGTTGTGTCAATTACATGGTAGTGTGTGTAACGTTTTTTTTATTGATTTAAAGTATCTTTTATGCATTATTTTAAAAAAATATTAACATTGTGCACTCCTTCTTTATATTCTCTATAAGTGTGAGAAATTTCATACTCCTCCGTCCGCGCAATTTACGTAAAAAGGAATACAACGTTTTTGCTTCACGTATTATTAATATATAGATGTTACCACTGGCAGCTTCGATGTTGGCGAAAGCGAAACCCTTGCTGAACCGGACTTTGGTGATGGGCGTCTTGGTGTCCAGCACGAGATTCCTGGAGGCGTCACGTTGTCCACAACAGGCGTGCGCAAATGATGTACTGGCGCTGTGCGTGTTCACTCTCTCGTAGTACACCTGGCGAACGAATTGTATCCAGTGGGACTGTATATGCAGGGTCCATTATAAACCGATTGGCTTAAAACAAAATATGTAATCCTCAAATAAAAAAAAAAACTTACGAAAATCTTTTGTATTCTGTAAAATAAAAATCATTGGTAGCTGGCTTTTGGAAGCCGTCGGATAAGACGTCCAGCATTTACGTTGTAGATGTCTATGGGCTCCGGTAACCAGTTAACAACAAATGAGCTGTGAGCTCATCCACATATCTAAGCAATAAAATATATCGAATACTCGAGCAGAAATTGGAAATCTATTGCGGATTAGGCAAGGCATATAATATCCTTGAGACATTAATATACATTCGAATACTGTGAGGGTTTGTCGTATCAATGTTACCCCGGTGAGAGATACCCTTATTGAAGCAATACAATTAAATAGGCCTTGTGATACGGTCACGAACTATTTGTTAACCGATGTTGAGACAGAAAATCGAATTCATCAAAATTAAGTATGGAATATCTACAAATTGTGAATGCACCTTTCTTTGCAAAATCTTAATTTTTTTTTTTAAATCTACGTCCAAAAAAAGGTCGGGACTTAAAAAGAAAACAGAACTAAATTAATTTTATTATTTAAATCATCACGACACTGTATACTATTGCTTGCTCATCTTTGTATCTCAGTTTAAATTCAACATTGAATAAAGATCGCATCGGGAGACCAATTATGAAATTCCAACACCTCATCGACCCGAGGAGTTCTTGTTCACCGGCAAATTAATCTTTCAGCCAATTACAGTGCCGTTAAAATAGAAATCAAGTCGAGGCAAAGTTAGAATTTAAATTCGCACCGAAGTTTAGATTTACTCGAAGCTATACCTGAGTTGTTGTGTAGGCATCTCCGTTGCGGTATCGGGTGACTTGGCGTTTTCGACGAACGTAGTGATAGCATATCGCTTTCCACCTACAAAAGGAAATACAAAATGTCTTTCAAATCGATAAAATGTTATCAAAGGGTTGGTCACTTTTAAACTGTTATAGATGATGACCGAGCTTTTGATAACGCCATCTTGTTGTTTCTTAATACGGTTAGTTGCCCTCAATTAAGAAAAATAGTATTATTATTCACCAATAGATGTCGGAAAGAGTTGATTATTGAAAACACGAATAAAACAACATTTTCTGAAAATAAATCGTAGCTAGATCGATTTATCGCCCCCGAAATCCTCTGTATACTAAATTTTATGCAAATCGTTGGAGCCGTTTCCGAGATTCAGATTATATATATACAAGTATTGCTCGTTTAAAGGTAGATTTCTTCGCTGAAAAAAAATATTCGAACATATCACCACAGCGGATGGTAAAAAGGTATTTTAAAACTGGTAAAATCGAAAAAACTTTTATCGTGCGATTATGGCCTCATTTCTAAAATAGATAAATTTTAATTATTATTTTGGAGACCTAAACAGTATTTCCAATGCTACCATGCCTTTAAAGGTTTCGAATTTTAAATTTAAAAACACAATTGAAGATGCATGTCGCATGCGGGTCGTAATAATGTCTCACTATGTTTCAACTTGAACGCAGGAACATTCCCATTTTAATTAATGCCCGCGATTCACACCCGCAGGTGGCGGCGCTATGGAAAAGCTCCCTTCGTGTATGCCGCAAGTATTTGACAAATAATAACAGAAGGGGAATCCCCCGCGATTTAATTGGAAACTCGTAGGGAATTCCATGAATTTTGTGTGCGAGCTGAAAAATTTGCTGTATAATTTACATTTTCTTGAGAAAGCTTCAGTCAGCTCTTTGTTAAATTATACTAATGTTGTGAAAGTTCTTAGTTTTGTGCCATATAGACGGACTAGCTCTTTTGAATTTTATATAACGACTATCCCATCTAATAAAGCCGAAACTCATGATCACTTCACGGCAAAAATAGCTAGAGCATTGGCACAAACCAGTTTTTTTGTCTACCTATCTGTTTATAGAGTGAAGCAGCTATTTTAGCTTCATCATGGCCAGTGGACGAGCTGAACCAACTCGTGCGAATAAAACAATCGAACACCCAAAATAGCAGTTGAGTTGAATGGCAGTAGCTAGACCTATGAGTTACAACCATACGGCCCAAGTTGAATATGCGACAATATTCTGTCCAGAACTAATTTCACCAAAGAGTAAGATAGAAATTTCATAATTTAAATGGAATTTGACTTAATGTCGACTTAATTTCGATGGCATTCGCGTAGTTATCTGTGTAGTAGTAGTAGTAGTAGTAGTATTTAGTAAACTCAACAGATAACCTAAATAAAATAAAAATAAAACTTTGGTCTGTGAACTCGGCAACATCTGTAGACCAACTTCTTTGGCAATATAGATCTATTTTTTCTACTTATTGTTGTAGATAATGATTTAGAATAGTTGTAAATTTTCTTTGTTACATTTTACATAAATAGGCCTTACTTTATTATACATAGGCGGCACTGAAAATTTCGGGAATTAACGAAGTGACACAACATTACTATTTAAAAATGTATTTATTGCTTTTCGAAGTATTCTCCGCGAAATTTGACACATTTTTCCATACGATGGAACCAATCATTGAAGCAACCATTCCATTCGGAAGTTGGGGTCTCCAAAATGGCCGTTTTGTAGGCGTCCACAGCTTCTTCAGGTGATGAAAATCTCTGTCCACGCAATTTATTCTTTATTTTAGGGAAAGTATAGAAATCATTAGGGCTTAGGTCGGGGCTGTACGGCGGATGGTCTAATAATTCTATGTTTTCTTGCTCTAAAAACTCTTTTGTTCTGTGCGCGGTGTGAGAACTCGCATTGTCGTGATGGAGGATGATGCGGCGGTTGCAGTTCTCTTTACGGAGTTCAGAAACGACCTGTGGCAAACAAATGCTAGCATACCATTCTACATTAACCGTTCTTTGTCCCTCAAGAGGAATAGTCGTAACATGGCCGGTTTTGGAGACAAATGTGGCCACCATTTTTTTTGCAACACTCCGTGAACGAACAATTTTTGTTGGCTTTAACTCATTTTCGAACACCCAAACTCGTGACTGGTTTTTTGTTTCGGGTTCGTACGCGTATATTCAGGATTCGTCACCTGATACAATGTTGTATACAGCATTTGAGGATCCTGCGTGGAATCTTTCGAGAGTTCTGACACACCAAGTAACGCGAGCCGCTTTTTGCTCTTCACAGAGCGAATGCGGTATCCATCCGGAAAACAACTTTTTTACACCTAATTGTTCATGCAAGATTATTTGTATTTGACTCATGTCAATGCCTAAAGTTGCCTGAATTTCGCGGTATGTCACATGTCGATCTTCCTCAATCAGCTTACGCACAGCATCAACGTTTTCTTGGGTGACTGCAGTTTTTGGACGACCTTGACGGGGATCATCACTGAGCTTGACACGTCCACGTTGAAACTCAGCAAACCAGCGATAAATTGTGGTTTTGGTTGGGGCTTCATCACCAAATGCAGAAATCATCCGGTCAACGCACTGTTTTTGTGTTAACCACTTCGAAAGTCATAATAAATCATCGCTCTTGAATTTTCTCGAGTCAATTCCATTTTCTCAACGACTAAACAAGTTTGACAAAACCTCGTGACAAGACCGAGAATCTTTTTTTAAATAAATAAATGGTATTAAATTTTTAAAACCAAGGAGTTTTCAATTAAAAAGATTTTAATATGACAGGAACAGTGGAAATATTCCATTCCCGATACTTTTAGTGCAGCCCTCTATAACACTATTATTTAACGGGTTCTTGCCAAGGGCTTAATAATTCCTGATAATTCGGCGATGTAGCAAACGCAAATGATCATACTAGTGGTATCTATTTAAAACCTTAGATTTTAAGGACTACATATTTAAATATAAAAAACTACTGATTATAGGTTTCACACCCAGACTTTTCTATTTCAACGTGGACTTTGATTTAATTTGAAAAAATATAATTTTGTATACCGAAGAACAGAACTATATTAACAATATTATTTTATTTATAAGTGAAAGATTTATCACGCATGCTGCTTCTTGAATGTATAGATTACTGGGATTATAAATTGGGGTTTCGGGGCGTGATCACTTTATATATTAGATGACGGATACATTTTATGTTAAGTGTAAATTTAAAGTGAAGAGATTGTAGAACGTGTATCCGATTCTGATGAGTTACCAAACGTAATCCAGTCGGATTAAAAGCCGATATTTAACTCATCAAATAAAAGCTATCTAAATACTGACTGACAAAAGTAGATGAAATTAATTATGTTATTCGCGCAAGGGTTTTTTTTATTTAAAAGTAAAGTTTCTAGGTAAACAAAAGGTATGTTGTCAATTGAGACGGATTCTGTTCTGGACCTCAATGATATTGTTTTCAAACCAAAAGAATATAGATACGGCGACAGAGGGTTCCAAATACCACTTAGTATGTGATATGTGACTTCGTTCTCATTACAACAGTTAAGAAATTGTAGACGAGAATATCATTGGAGGTGTAGTAGAAGAGTTTGAGTTTCATCGCCGTCTCGTGATAATAACAAAGCCAAGAGCCGTTCTGCTTATTATAACTAGTCAGGTCATAAGTATTGTCACACAGTAAAAACTTTTCTTTTAGAATGCTGGCCACAAAAAAGTTTATTGAATTCGAATTTCGAATTGTTCATGAAAATAAAAATGTATACTTTTAGAATTTTACTCATTTTTAAATATGGAGTGGACGCTTAAAGAAGACCGTGTTGCAGTTATTNAACTTTAGTGTCATAAGAATCTATGTTTTGTTAAGTTCATTTTGGTATATGAATGGTTACATAATGAATAAACTTGTTTCAATTATTTTACATTAAACATGTGACAGAATTTATGACCTGACTAGGTACTAATCAATTTTGTAAAAAATGTTCATGTTAAGCTTTGAATTTTTATTTATTTAAAAAAACACTGACACAATCGCGACACTTCATGCAAATACACAGGACATCTTGCCCATTAGGTATTGAACTTCCAAGTCAATATTATCTCCTGGTATAGGCAGCGGCATCCTCGTTGTGTTGTCGTCATGAACTCAAGTAACCCCTTAACATGAAATGACCAAACCCGATCTGCAATTATCTTAGCTAATAAATAAATAAATAAATGAATATAAAATATTCCTGACTCACCAAACCCTTGGAGTGGCATTCCTCATTGCATGAACCCTTGCAGATACTGCAGCCACGTCAACTCTCTTCGTCAGCTGGATCCTGGCAGTGCTATGATAGCACTCGACCAAATAGACCAAATATAATAATAATACGAACGCAATAGGAATGTATGCGTATCCAACGTCGCAGGGTGACTCGCGTACCGTTCGCTTGATGGGGTGCCTGATGGAGAGAAAACTAATTTAGACGTAAAATATAATAGCAATGTTTGTACACTTTTGATCAACACTAGCTATAGCCGAAATTCGGCTGGACTATTATAGATTATACACATTATAGGATCGTCGTTGTCTAAAGCATAACAGGCTCGCTGTAGTTGTATTCGGCGATATGTTTACCCTTTGTGTTCAAATCCCGCAAGCAAGTAGTATATTTTCTAAGAAAATACGTACTTAACACGTGTTCTTAAACGAGTTTCAAGCTGAAGGAAAAACATTTACTATAAAATCAAACCCGCAATTTTATGGATATTGCATATCTATATGTACCGGCATACTGTATTGTACTGTGAAATAATCATGTATTCTGCTTAAACAATTTTTGGGGGGGGGCAGTGAAGTCGACTCATTTAAAAAATAAAAAGAATGGTGGTGTCGTGGGGCACCGGATAGGAACGAAGTTCCTCATTATAAAAATATTAATTTTATGTTTTATCCGAGGTATAAAGAAAATAAAACTGGAGGTTTCGCAACAACCCACGGTTATTCGGTAACGTGCGAACTTATTGTGGTACACTTCATTCACTATTGTTTGCATAAGAGTTAGTGTATAGCGCAAACGAACGCTCTGAGATCGTGGTCAATGAATGATAAAAAATATGTTGGTTTTTGTGCGTTATTACGAAGTTAAGTCGTACACTGTGTGCATTACTAATTTGTACGTTATTACAAAGTTAAGTCGTACACTTTGTGCATTACTAATAAAAATATTACGTTACGGACGTTTTTTTCCCGGTTAGGGTACCCCTCCGCATCGTTCCATAAGGAACTTCGTTCCAAAACATTTATAACTAAACGGTTAACCATATATGACATCATCTTATAATTAGTGTTTTGATTGAATTGAATTAATGTTGTAATTACTAGAATCTATTTATTGAATTTAAGTAAGATCTTTTCAAACTACTTTTTATATTGTTTTTTGTTTGTTTGTGTCCTATATATGTATACGCTGGAAGCATTCGCGATGCGCGTCGTTTATTTGAATTGAAACTTTGTACAGTTGCTGTTGGCACTTTAGGAAATATTTTTGGCATAGTGCCATCAACTCAACCCGCCAGTAGTTGCAATTAAATTGCCTGTTTCATATAAAATTTCGGAATAGTTGTAAGGTCGTAATATTTTAGTTTCGTCGGATTAGGAAATGCCTTCGGGTGAAATTAAGTTCCGTATAGTAACTTAAATGTGAACGAAGCTACAACGTACGACGTCATTTCCACAGCTCAGTGTCTGCCCACACATTATCGTAATGGAAGGCCTATAAGAATTGTAGGGTTGGGCATTGTATGAATATTTTAATTATGTAAATCCTGAAAGTAAATGAGGAATTGTTTGCGATGACCTCAAATCTATCGTCTCTATTATACAAACGCAAAACCTCCAAATGAAGCCAGAATACGTGGAACCACTTTCATCCAGAGTCCATTTCCAGATATTATTATTGGCTTTTATAAATATCTAAATGTTATAATGTAAAGCAATAAAAAATCCTCAAAACCTCATTTTACTTGCCTACCGCTTCCACGAAGTGTTATTTTGGATAATGGCATTAGGGCAATTTGGTAGTCCGAATGGATCTTATTTTCCTGCTTGTTTTTCAAAAGACTGATATAGACGGATGAACAAGCTCATGATCCATTGACACTATGAGAACGTCCTCCTCACCCACATTGAGATATGAAGTCTTAGTCAAAATTGTGCCAGACTCTCCCAATCTGCTAATCCACTAATAATTATAATACATGACAGCTTTGTTACCACCTCGTGCAGACTCCATAATGAGCCGTAAACTCACATTAAATACTACCTTATGGCAGTTTTTCGAAACATAATAATAATGAATACTGACTTGTTCGACTATAGTGAACATTTATAAATATAACTAAATATACCTAAATTTATTAGGCAGTTCTGCTTATTCAGATATGTATTTTAATCTGACAAAGCCAAAATTAGTTGTGACCTCCGTTCCAAACATTGCTCTAAAGCCGATTCGCAATACGGTGAAATCAATTAATCGAGTTTTCATTTCCAATCACACGGTAAAATGTTCGTATTTTATCTTCAGGGCCTTTTTTTTTCATTCTGGCCAGCCCTAAAATGTATCTCCAAAAATGTTTGCCTCGTGCTACGCATTAAGGAACAACACTGTAATCCAAATCGTCTTAAACGTGATTCCGAATAAAATTATCATTAAGCATATCCATTACAATTAATTAATAAAACAGAAAAATCTAAAATAACTGTAGTTAGCTCTAATGTTATCGTTATTAAAGTAAACATAAGGGATAGCGAAGATAAATTTCTGTTTGAATTAAACTTATCTGTTATTACTTTTCTAATCGTTGTATTCATGGTGGTGGTGGACAGGGGAAAGTGGAAAAACATCTTAAGATTGATGAAGCTCATGGGTGATGGCGGTCACGACCCTCAGACATGAGGAACACGATTCGAGGAGGAGGAGTTATTACAGATAAGCTTAGATTATGAAGTATGGATTATTATCCATACTCCTAGTACAAGAAAGCGAGTTTATTTATTACTTTTATCGTCACAATTGCTCAGCTTTTTCAAAGGTTCAGAAAAGCATGTATGTATTCAGAAAGAAATACCATTCCCAGGATAAAATATATTTTTTACGTTATGGTGACCAAAACCTCCACGTAAAAGCTATTTACGAAATTTCTAGCTGTCCATTACACATTCTCTTAAAGACATCTAAAGTTTGATTTGCTTATTCTAGCATTTGACAGCATTACTACTCGTGGACACAAATGTATTTTTATAAGTATTCTTAACGCAAAAAAATAGCTAGCAAAATAATAAATAGCTACCCTATATTATATGCAAAATCATTGTTCTCTTCTATACGGTAAATTTAAATTTCCTCTGCGTACATAAGTCGTTAAATGCCTCACAAGACATTCCTATTTTATGTCTCAAGAAATGTTTTAAGTCTGTTATCTGGATTAGAAAACCATGTAAGCGCCGTGCGCACAAGGCAATAATGGCTTGGTATCCTCCACATTTACCCATTCATTGTCTTTTTTAACTGAGTTCCAAAAAAGGGGGAATGTTCTCAATTCGACTGTATTTTTTATGGGTTCTAGAACTTTTTTCTAGGTGAACTGATTTTGATGATTATTTTTTAATCGAAATCTGGCGATTCCGATGTGGTATTATTTTTATCAATTGTATCAAGTTCCGATTAGTAGTTTTTAAGTTATGCCTAATAATTCATATTTCATTGACTTTGATTACATTTTTGGCACTCTTAATTCATTTTATTGAAGCGATAAGTATTATTGTTGTCCAATTTTTTAAATAACAATCTTTAAAAAGGTTACAATAAATAAAAATGGGAATATACTAGATATTCGCATAACATAACTTTTATTTAAGCGAAATTTATATTCTGTTTTCATTAAAAAACAATATCGTTATTTGGGCGTTCCTTATACGCAGAAATTATTAAAAATATTTGTTTTAATTGATTAAAAGACATACGTAGTTTGTATATCATATGATAATAAGCAGTAAGGACTTTTTTTTTCCTACCTAAGCTGATAGCCTTTAGAGGCTACTTCAGCGTAACCGTGGCTAGTAGGTGAGCTCACGGGGCTCAAACCTGATGACGATGCTAACACGAACCCTAGCAAGGGCCGTGCTTCGCAGAATCTACCACCGGATCGGAAACGCGACCCACTGAGAAGATACGGCGAGAAACTCAGTGGGCTGTGTCTGAGAGCTAGTTTACTCGTCGAGCCCTTCGTCGCAAGCGACGGGTTCGACGAGAACGGTGACCGGTGCTTGAAGTACCTAAAAGCACCGTTAGTGGAAGTGAGGACCTTGATATCAATTGAATCCTAAATACGATCTAGTCTCGTTATGACTTCGAATAGATGAGGGTCGTAACAAAATTGATTTTATATGAAAAAACGGGCGCAAATATTTCTTCATAACAGAGATGTATGTAATATTGACACAAAAATGTACACAGAGAACAGAAATATCAATACGATTCACATATGTACACACATTCACGATTTAACAAATGTACTCTAATTAGAGTTGAGAAAAACTACACAAAGTTTAAATCTACTGGTTTGGAATTTACTTATTGAATAAAGTTAAAATATTACTAATTAGGAATTGCATTTTTTTTTACACGATACACAGCTATCAAATCTACAAATGTTAAGAAATCAGAGAAAGAAGCAATGAATTCTACACAATTGTATGTACATACATATATGGCCTCAGTTTTCACTATCATCACAAAAACAATACTAATCAGATTTTCAATTAATTTTTAATTTTTTATATGACAATGGAATTTTGTGATTCCCAATTTACTTTTCAATTGATTGCAATTAATTTGTTGGATGATTAAATATAACACTTATAGAAATAAGACCTAAGGTTCTAAATAGCGCATATTACTTTAAGTCATACGGGTACCATCTTTCACCCTATTTCTATCGGGGTAAGACAGTCTTTATCACAATGCTAATAATATTTTTACCTCATGTCTTACGGTGAGAGACGGCATTGTTTTTCTACCTTATATAAGGTTCAATAGCCCCTTTATTATTATATACTATATTAATTAACCGGGTGAGCTCGGACTATCGACAACAAAAAGTCAAGAAGCCAACAATAGCCCTTAAATAACATTTAATTAATAACAGGATACAATGTTTTCCGTGAAATCATCAAGAAGTTTCGAGGATTTTGAGGATTCAAGATAAAGCTTAAGTAAGAACGGACAATTGAATTATTTCCTTTGTAAAATGCTTCGCAAACTTATTCATATTCGAATTACTTCTGAGAATCTTGAACTTTCCGCGAGTGAGTTTCTTCTCAGATGTGCGGGTTACATTGAGGATTTGTATCTTACGAAAACTTTTCAGAGGAAATAAATTGGGATCTATAATTTATAATCACGGCTTTCATGAGAGAAGTGAAGTACTGACTTTTATGCTTGTTTCTTTTGTTTTGTATTTCATTATCTCCACTAGACTCCGTATTATAACACCAGAGACGAGCTGAATACCTACTATTTAACTGTGGAATAATTTAGTTAAGCTCTAGTCATTGTTTTTTTCGCCCGAAATGAAAACAATGAAAAAAAGTTGAACTATGATTAGTTGTCTCTCTCTCTCTCTCTCTCTCTTCCCAGCTATTTATCTCACATGGTGGTGGGGTCAGCTTTCCTGACTCTACTCCTCCACTTCGCTCTGTCTTCGACATCCTCGTCATCAACATTGCATTTTCTCTTGTCCTGCAGCACTACGTTCCTCCACCTTGCCTTGGGTCTACCTTTAGGTCTTCGACCGGGTAGGTCGAGCAGTAGCGCCAAATGATCGTTTTATTAAAAAAATTCGAATAACCGAAATTATTAAGGGGAATTATTTTTATACATATCACTTTTTACCAGTAAATACAAGAGGGTACAAATTCAAATTAACCAAAGACACATATGCATAAGCTCAAAGACTCAGATAGCATACATGAGTATAATTCTGTGTATTGCTCGTAAAAACAAATGGGTTTTCGATATTTTTTGGATTGTTATAAAAATAATAGATTAAGTATGCGCGTATGAAGCTATGACAAGTTTATCCAGTCATATATTCAGTCTCGCCACCTGACTAAAACATAATAAATCTGTAGTAAAAAAAAACGTTGAAAATTATCTTTCAATTTCGTATCTATATACATAAATCATGTATTTTATGTAAAAAATAAGTATTTATTTATTTGTGAATGATCATCAGGGCTTACTAATGAAAATTTAAAATAATCACAATTTACTGTTGCAACTCTAATCAAATGTAATTACAGATTGCAATAAAAAGAAGAAAAAAAAACAATTAGTTTATATAATATAAACCGAGTTCAATGGCGTACATTGGACGAGACCTACATATGTATATCCAGCAGTGGAAAGCTGTGGGTCGATGATGATCACAGCCAAACCAATAAGAACACATACGGAATACTACGGACGATTTTGTTCTGCGAGTATGACAACTGTACAGTATTCGAAATATCGGTAATAATATTAGAATGGCAATAATTAAATTAGTAATAATACTTACTTGCTAAAATCGATGAGGTCTCGATCGATCTCAGCTGTATTGCACCAAGCGACGGAGCCTAGGCACCCCGCGATCATGAGGGTCAGCATGAAGCACTTCCAATTACCTTCGCGGCGTAACACTCCTCCCAAACTCTGCTGTCGTGGACGCTGTGAAGGAAAACGTAATTATTATATCACACTACGCTGAATATTTTAGAACAAGATATGAAATCATATCACTACATGGTATAAAACAAAGTCGCTTTCTCTGTCCCTATATCCCTATGTATGCTTAAATCTTTAAAACTACGCACCGGATTTTGATGCGGTTTTTTTAAATATATAGAGTGATTGAAGAGAAAGGTTTATATGTATAATAACATCCATTAAATAGTGGAGAAATCAATAATAAATTACAGTTTCCGAAGTGAAACGAGGGCGGGTCGCTAGTGTAAAATATACTGAAGAAATATTATATTATAACTTCAGACGCCTAGTGTCAATTAGTTGCCGGAATTCATGAGTATCATAACATAATCAACTTATTTTCAATAAAAGTTTTTTTCCATATTTTTTTCCATTCCTACTCGTCTATTGGTTGGAAGTGGAAGTGCTCACAGCCCACCTGGTATTAAGTGGTTACTGGAGCCCATAGACATCTACGATGTAAATGGGCCACCCACCTTGAGATATAAGTTCTAAGGTCTCAGTATGGTTACAACGGATGCCCCCACCGAAACGCATTACTGCTTCACGGCAGAAATAGGCGGGGTGGTGGTACCTACCCGTGCGGACTCACAAGAGGTCCTACCACCAGTAAAAAAAGTTGGATACCTTAAAGTTGCTGAAAACCTTGTTTAATTTAATGATAATTTCAAAAGAGTCTTTCGTGGTACACTTATTACTCAACCTTGTCGGAAAAATATTCATACCGGCATTTGAAATCCGGTATTCAAATAATCTAAAACAGGCACGCGATCTTATCAGAATTACAAAATACCGAAAGAAAAATATGTTACAGTATAAATATTCTATGAAAATGGAAAAGAAAAAGTGGATTAATAAGGAAAATCGGTCGGNAATTTCAAAAGAGTCTTTCGTGGTACACTTATTACTCAACCTTGTCGGAAAAATATTCATACCGGCATTTGAAATCCGGTATTCAAATAATCTAAAACAGGCACGCGATCTTATCAGAATTACAAAATACCGAAAGAAAAATATGTTACAGTATAAATATTCTATGAAAATGGAAAAGAAAAAGTGGATTAATAAGGAAAATCGGTCGGCTTCAAAATAACTTCATCGAAGTGTGAAGAAAGCGTTTGGATGTGTTTGTTTGGTAGGAGTACCTTTACACGGAGGCCCGATCGAGCGACTGGTCCCTTGCTGTTTACATTGCCCTAATAATTTCACCGTGACCCGCGCTCGGTCACCAAATATTTTCCCAACTAATTAAACACTTTCCTAATTTACTATATTGCTACGGTCGGGACGACAATTTGGCGTTCCTTTTAATAGTTCAATTTAGATAATTAGAACTAATTTTATTCCAAAGCAAACTACTAAGACCCTTTTTCTCTCTTTATACTATTTCTTATTATAGATATAAATTATAACAAAATATATGATTATATAGTTGAAAACGGTTCGAAGGGCGGGGTAGCCGTTGTAACTATACTGAGATCTTAGAACTTATATCTCAAGGTGGGTGGCGCATTTACGTTGTAGATGTCTATGGGCTACAGTAACCACTTAGCACCAGGTGGGCAGTGAGCTCGTCCACCCACCTGAGCAATAAAAAAAATTTTAAAATGATGAAAAAAACTGAATTAAATTCATTTTGTCTAATTCTTAAGCGCTTAAATAAAGATAATCGGATTTATTCAATATTTCGCACAGTACGGGATTTAGTAAACTCTTTAGTATGAAAAAAAATAATATTTTGAAATCTGTTCAACCGTGTCGGGTTCTATAAGGAACATACACACATCGACTAAATGTAATCTAGTAAGACTAATTGCTAATAAGTGCGCAACATAATCATTCTCGTACGCTAAACTTTGAAACTGCACTCAGAAACGCAATATACACGTAAAGAAAAACCTTTATCATTTAAAACTCTTTAGTTTTTAAAAAGGATTTTTCTTCCGTGTCATTCAGTATCATGGAGGGTCTGTCATTGAGTAAAAAGAGAGTTCTGCTTAATTTATTAATATTGTTTAATTTTTTATATTAATTTTAAAAGAGATTAAGGCCTTTAAGTGTTGTTTTCTTATTATATAACAGAAAACCCAATTAAGTCCTTTATTGTTTATTCATTCTGAAATACTCCATATTATTATATGTATACATATAAGCTTTTCGTTCAATTTGAGATTCACTGACCTATTACCCGTAACCGGATAATAAAAACTGTAAGTTCCTGCGCTTATTGTATGGCTTTTATAAATTACCTTTTGGTAAATAAATACACATGTATGTGTATTGTTTTTTTTTTAATTACAATAAATTCATAATTATCTATTTAGAAATGGATCTAATAATTTAGACTATTTAGCTTGTATGTAAACACTTCAATCAGCTATATATGGCGAACGATCCAGCTCCGAAGGACCCTAAATCACGTCATTACGGATCCTCTCGATTCATTAACGGTGCTTTTAGGCACCAGAATTATATATAATTTAATTTTACATCTAACACCCTCTATTGGCGATATTCAAATAATTCCACCACATAGTGTAAGAGAACAATTTTTTTAGGCGAAGTGTTAAGTTTCACAACCAAAATTTTTGTAGGCGAAGTGTTAAGTTTCACAACCACAATTTTCGTAGGCGAAGTTTTAATGATAGTAAAGATCAACACAAACAAGAGTCGACGAATCGACGAAGATTGCGAAAAAGAATCAACGAAGAATGCAGACGCCGTGACGTCGCGTCATATCATTTGACCGTTGAACCCGTGTGTTAGCTAGTTTTATTTGAGTAACGATGCACGTCGAAGAATCTAGAGTAGAAAAACATTTCAACAGAGATCGTTTATTTATTTATTAGTATTAACGTTTTCGAGACATTTTTCCATTTGCTGATATATACGACACTATGACAAAAATACTACATAGTTTAATAGGTTTAGAACTTCGACGAAACAATTATTTAGAAAGTAAAAAAATATTTCAGTGAAATTATCAAACCGAAAATTTTACATTTCGAAATACTAAATTGAAAAAAAAAATCATTAAAGTAGTAGTACCTCTTGAGAGATCGCAAAAAGTTGGATCGTTAAAATTTGTTTCAAATTTGTTCTGATTCAGACGAGAACGAGGCATACTGATCAGGATAAAAAAAAAAACAAAATTCGAAGTGAAGCAAATTTCTGATAAAGTGAATCAGCGAAACGGGGTTGAATATTAATGTTTTGTTTATTCATAGAATTGTTATCGAAATCATGCTAGAATTTTACAATACGGAATAAATATTATTTTAAAATTCTAATTTTAGCATTCTTGTTATTCTAATAGGTTATATTATAACGTACGAAATTGCAGTTTAGACTTTTTGGCGGGAACGTGAGGAGTGAAGTTGTGTGATTTGTTTTATTTTGTCTATTTAGTGTTTCTTTAGGTTTAAATGTGTAATAACGGTGGTTTATTAACAGTTTAGTATCTGTGGAAGTGCAAAAATTTCGGAAAATAAAACAAAGCTGCTGGACGTAACTTCTCGGGATCCTCCAAAAAGTCCACTGAAAAAGTCTCAGTAAAAGACCATCAGTTTACTGAGATTATATTTCATCCCATATCATCTCATTTAATTTCATCCCAGTTGATTAATGTCTCAAATTAATCATCTTGATTTCATTTCACTCCATATTATAATTTTTCATAAAATTAAGAATATAAATTAAGGCATGACTTAAAGGTCTTAGTTACCAGGTCATAAAATCCCTTAAAAATAATAATAATTGCCGTTTAGAATAAAAACAGTTCTTAATTATTTGTATCAAATAAAATATGCATTTCTGCCAACGAAGTGCCAATTTTTCTTCTTGAAAAAGTCAGATGTCTGGGAGTCATAAACTCTTCAAAAGCATTTTATGCTCCTGCCTATCGGGTATTGAATTTATCCCTGCCAAAAAGTTATCCNTCATAAAATCCCTTAAAAATAATAATAATTGCCGTTTAGAATAAAAACAGTTCTTAATTATTTGTATCAAATAAAATATGCATTTCTGCCAACGAAGTGCCAATTTTTCTTCTTGAAAAAGTCAGATGTCTGGGAGTCATAAACTCTTCAAAAGCATTTTATGCTCCTGCCTATCGGGTATTGAATTTATCCCTGCCAAAAAGTTATCCAAACTTTGGAAAAGTAGAAATCTGCCGGCGCAAAGTCTGGTGAGTCCGATGGATAACGCAAAACTTCCAACCCTAGCTCTCGTCTTGTAGCTTTGAGATCCAAAATTAACTTATACAAATATTTTACATTTATTAATCCACAGCAAATTTTCAACGAAACTTTGAGGATACGATGGTAATAACACCGTTTTAGTCGAAGGTCGTCTGACGTAAAATTTCTAATCGTTTTCCAGAGTTGTCAGTTGGAAACAGCACTTTTATTACTCTATTATTTTGAATATCATGAATTCTAAGCTATATACATAATTAAATTTTAAGACTTTTGTGGAATGCATCACTTAATTAAATATGAAAAATGATTCACCGAAGAAAAGCTTAAATTATGCAAAGAAATGCAATATTCATTCAAGTCCGTTTCACGGGGATTGAGTCATTTCGTAAGTTTATTCCAGTCGCTGGGCTGGCACACTTTGCGTTACCGCGTTATGTTCTAGACATAAATTTATAGTTATTTTATGTATTTCAAAGATAAAGGTGAAGATTATTGTTATTATTATTATTATATATTTTTTTATTGCCCTTGTAGGCAGGCGAGCATACGGTCCACCTGATGGTGAGTGGTTACAGTCACTCATGGACTTCAACAATGCCAGGGACAGAGCCAAGCCGCCGCCTGTCGCATAATACAAGGGCGGGATGATAACTAGTAACTAGCCTAACAATAGCCTAGTAACTAGCCTAACAATAAAACACTTAACTTTTCGTAATATTTTTTCTTTTTCAACAGTCTCCGTGAAATTCTACGCACTTATTC